TTCGTTTTTTTTTTATTGTAATTGTTTTGGGGTGTGTTTGTGTGTGGGGGTGTGTGTGTGTGTGTGGTGTTTGGTGGGGGGGGGAAGTTGTGGTCTATTGGTGTTTAAAAGTGGTTTTTATCGATAAAAGTGCTAAAGATTTTTTGGGTTTCCCCAGCGCTTGAAAATTTGGGCATCAACCCCGTCTGCCCCCCCGACAATGAAATTTTCCCCTCTCCATCCTCCCACTCCCACACTAAACCCCTTTCCCCCCTTTCCCCCCCTTTCCACCCCAATTTTTCCTCTTACCCCCCTTCCCCCCCCCCAACCCCCTTTCAACATTAAGACTTCCATCCCCCGAAATGATCCAACTGATTGTGCGTCTTCAAGTGTGTCCTTTCCTATGCGTGTTTGGGTTTTTTAGCGGAACCACGGTCCTAAAAACGAAATTTAGCGACCAGTAAAAATTTTGGGATTTTTAACCCCTCTTTGAGGTCGTTAACTCACTGGGTTTCTCTTCCCTCTTCCATGATTACTGTCAGTTAAAAGGGTATCTGCCCTCTTCGCTGTTGGATAGGAGGCATGAGGATACATTGGTTTTTCTACGCAAAGCGGAGCCTTAGGACATCTGACACTCATGCTTTTTGGGTACGAGCCTTGAGGACACATCTGGTATTAAAAACGCGTGGCTGGAGTCATCGGGTTTCTTAGCACTCACATAATTGGCTATGAGCCCGGGGATACATATGTCCCGACCTGATTTCATACTTGCTTTGCTTATATCCTGCGTACATTTGCGCACATTAATGGTACCTTAAAAAAGCGTAGGGGAGCAATTAAAGGGAAAATTCTCCTATGGGTGCTCAAAGCTATTCCTGACATGGTGGATGACTGTTGGATAGGGAAACACAGCTAAGGTCAGTGTCGCTTGGAGAGACAACAACCCCCATCGCTCTCGTGAAAAATTTTATGGGGTTAAATTTTTGTGAAAAGACCCGTTTTAAAAAGTTACGTGACGTCACCGTAAATGTCGGAACTGTCAATCAGTATTTGGGGACTTGGGTAAAGGGAAAAAATTGCAGAAGTGTGTTCTTTTCAATTTCCCATGTCAGTTCCCCGGCTTCTTTCCGGGATTGACTGGTTCCCAGACCTTTGATTTCAGTAACCGCCATTTTTCTTTTGCAATTCTTAAACGTTTACTGGCTGTTACTCCGTGGGATATCCAGGCTAATAGTCATATTAGCTCTTAGTGCCTTTACAGCACCTGTCATTTGCGGTAGCAGATGCAGTCGATTATTACACTCATAAAGCTGTATTGACGACCCATGAAGCTGGTGGTCCAACAAAGTAACGACATCGCGCCACGTGCACTCTCACAAGCCAATTAATGGGTAGTTAACGATGGTGTAACCACCCTATTCATTATGGTGTTGGGCGGCCATAACGACGCCCACGATAGGAAAACCATTGCATTTTCCCGATACACATTTTTTTCATGTTTGGACCGGCCATAATTTCTGAAAAAAATATAATGACATTTTGCTGAGCAGATGGAATGGAATACCAATTAATGACAATATTAGGGTTTATTGTTTTTCAGTGGAACTATGAATGCTATAGTTGTGCAGTGGTATCATAGCGACCACTACACTACACACACACACACACACACACACACACACACACACACACACACACACACACACACATACACACACACACGTACTCATATACAACAGGTCTAGTGTCTAATCGACATGTGCCTAGGACAAAATGGTAACTAACTGAAATGATCACATGGGAACCAAAGCTGTTCAGTACATGAAGACATATTGATTCTGGTGAAATGCCTTTGAACAAACGATTTGGAACTATCCTCCTCTTCCATGGATCAAGCCTGATTTTATTTTGCCCAGGTTTGATAATATTCAACCGTGTTACGGATGTCACATTTCTGCAAGGAATCTGCAGTAATACAATGACGGCTCTAAGGAGTGGAGACGTATGATCAAGTCTTATTACCCTAGTTACCCCCTGTTCATCTAGCAACAAATTAGGTACCTAGATATTACTCGACTGTTGTGGGTCGCATCCTGGGCAGGAGGAGACGCTAACACGAGTCTCCTAATACCTGTTTCCTCTTTTCACCTAGCAGTAAATAGGTACATTGGTGCAACCCGACTGTTTGAAGTTATCTTTAAGCCTGAAAATTCAAGTGTAAAGTAATCTGGAGTATCATAGAAGGCCAAACAAAAGTAAGGCATAGATATAATACCATCATTTAAATACTGATATGTCACGTTAACTGAAAGTCTAAAATATGTTTATAAGATGTGCAATAATGGTCACTTGTTCATCTCGGGAATTAGCCATCTGACGAGTTGATTCCCAGATGAAAGGATTTACCATCAGAGTTACGGAAGCTTAAAACTAATCCATGTTAGAGACAGGGGGAGGGATATGAGGGAGGTAAGGAGAGAGGGAGACAGAGAGATTATGAAGGTGAGCTAGCTCAAATAGCAGAATTAACTTTTAAAGTTGTATCATTCAGTGAAAATACTGGTCAGTTAGCAAGAACTCATTTAAAATTAAGTCATTTGGAAAATTTTCTCTTATACGTTTAAAGATATGTTTTTTTCATTTATGTTTATGTGAAAATTATTAATTTTGTACCAAAAGAACCTTAGACAACTTAGCTAACCTTATTATAGCAAGCGCAATTTAATTTTAGATAAGTTTACAATAAGTTCATAATAAACAAACACAGTGAAATATATTTTTTTCATTATGTTCAGAATGATTTTTGCGAAATTATTGCATACACAAATTTTCGCTTGCCTTATTCGGCAAGAAGAACGTTGCTATTTAAGCCAAAATCTCAGGCTTTACCTATACGGCACGACATATATATATATATATATATTATATATATATATATATATATATTATATATAATATATTATAATATACAGATATATATATATATATTATATATATAATATATATATATATATTACATTATATATATATAATATATATATATATATATATAATATATATATAATATATATATATATATATATATATATATATATATATATATATATATATATATATATATATATATGTAACAGTCCTGTGGACTTTAAGCCAAACAAACAAAACAAATGAATTATTAACCACAATTAAACGCTGAACAAAAAAAAAACTTAGCTAATAAAGAAAATCATATTTTACCACTTGCAAAAAAGGAACATAAAATTTTAAGAGTTCTCTGAGAGCAACAACAATTTGTTTTAAAAAGAGCAATAATTTTCATTGTGTTGAAATAGATATAAACCTTCTCATTTATCTGACTTCGTTATATTTACGTAGATAAGATTAAAGAAAACGAGAGAAGAAGAGTACTTAAAGGATTCTATATTTCTCCATTTTCTTTCTTTTATTCACATACTAAAAATATATTAGCAACAAAAAGGTACAATATCGCGACTGGAACAAGACACAGATAACCCGCATATAGGAGAGAGAGAGAGAGAGAGAGAGAGAGGAGAGAGAGAGAGAGAGAGAGAGAGAGAGAGAGAGAGAGAGAGAGAGAGGAGCTTACGACGACGTGTGGCCTTTGTGACTTTGTAAATGGTCCAAGTCGGACCGAAACGTCGTCGTAAGCTTCTCTCTCCCACGTGCGGGTTATTTGTGTAAGAATATATCATCTTATTTTTATTCTCTTATATTGTCTTTACATTCTTATGCTCTGTATATTCTTCAGATTTTGACCTTGATATTTTATTGTTTATTTTCGCTTGATGCCTGGGAGAGGGGGAGAGGAGGGAGGGGAGAGGGGGGAGGGGCTGGTGATCCATGGAATTGAGCCTGTCCTTCCCTCTAATCGAACCTCATTGCTGTATAACCCCCTACGGGTTTACCACTCCCGCCCCTAAATATAATAGCAGTCGTTTATCTTTCGGCGTTCTGGGAATTTATGCAAACTAACCTTCACGCAGAGCAAAGCATGAATATATTATTTTACAGGCGACTCTCTCTCTCTCTCTCTCTCTCTCTCTCTCTCTCTCTCTCTCTCTCTCTCTCTCTATCTATCTATCTATTTATCTATCTCTTTCTCTCTCTCTGTCCCATGCTTATACATACATAAAGCAGCCATAGTTACATGTTCTATAACCCGGCCACAGGGGTTAAAGAACCGGACCACAGAAGTTAAAATTAGAACCTGACCACAGAGGTTAAATTTTGAATTGGTCCAGAGAGGTTAAAGAACCGGGCCACAGGGGTTAAAGAACGGGGCCACAGGTCTTTAAAAACTGGTTTACATGGGGTTTAAGAACTTGGTTACAGTGGGTTTAAGAGCTGGGTTACAATAGATTTAGTAACTGTGTTACAGGGGGGTTTAAGAACTGGGTTACATGGGGTTTAGGAACTAGGTTACAGGTGTTTAAAAATTGGGTATCAGGAGGTTTAAGAACTGAGCTACATGTGGTTTAAGAACTAGGTAAGATGTGGTTTAAGAACTGGGTTACAGAGGGTTTAAGAACTGGATTACTGAGGTTTGTGGCATCATATAAGTAATATTTCCCCTGCGGACGTCTAGGATAACGAATTAATTACCCGTCATGGGGATGGTGTCTTGTTGCTGGTGAAAGGCGTTTGATCCAAGGGGTCTTGTTTCTTGTGAAGAGCTCTTCGTTTTTAAGACTTTCAGCTACCTTCCCCTTCCTCGGATTAAACCAGATTGCCTCAAATTCCCAAGACCTGTATTATTCTCTCAAGCTCAAAGCTTCCTTATAATAATAATAATAATAATAATAATAATAATAATAATTATAAAGCACGTGTCTTTTCTGTGGGTATCAGGTGCGAGCCACGGACGAGGATGCAGGGGAGTTCGGCCGTGTTCATTACTCTGTGTCTGGCGACGGCATCTACACGAACGGTTCCACTCCCAGCTTCGCTGTCAACCCGACCTCAGGAGCCATCGATCTTCTCAGGGTGAGTGTGTGTGTGTGTGTGTGTGTGTGTGTGTGTGTGTGTGTGTGTGTGCTCTACTTGTTGCGGGGGTCGAGTCTCAGCTCCTCTCCTTGCTTCTCAAACTGGCCTCTACTGGATTCACTCTCACGGTTGCGTGAACTCTGTCGTATTTCTCCTTAAAGCTGTGTATGGATCCTTCCACCACCACTTTGCTTTCCAGGTCGTTCCACATTCTGGCCACTCTGAGGCTGAAGAAATATTTTCTAACAGCCCTATGATTCAATGTCTGCTTTTACATCCAGCTGTTCTCTCATCTGCTCCTGTTCTCTCACCTTCACCTGTTCTCCCACCTGCACCTGTTCTCTCACCTGCACCTGTTCTCCCACCTGCACCTGTTCTCTCAGCTGCACCTGTTCTCTCACCTGCACCTGTTTTCAGAGCCTTGAGCAACCTGTCCCTATCTAACTCATCAATTCCTCTCAGGATTTTGTACTTAATTTTAAAGTCTCCCAAGGTCCACCTTCCCTTTAATGTCATCAGATTATTTTACTTCCAGGTGACAAATGGGTAACACATTTACGGAGACTTACCTAGACGTCTCACACGGCCTGGGAAACGAACCAGGGTGCTTTCTATTGTAAGACGAAGTCTCTTTTATATGTCGTGAATACACAAAATTTTCACACAGAAAAAGAGAGGAAATTCGAGGAATGCTAGTGAAGAATTTTTGAGAGAGAGAGAGAGAGAGAGAGAGAGAGAGAGAGAGAGAGAGAGAGAGAGAGAGAGAGAGAGAGAGAGATACTGAGACAAAGATGGAGAAATTGGGATTCAAAGATACTGAGATGATAAGAAATTGAAGAAGTGAAATTTTCCGATGGCTATGTAAGTAACGACTGATTGTGGTGGGAGATAGTGCTGGAGGAAGAGTGAGAGAGGAGAAAGAGAGAGAGAGGGAGAGAGAGAGAGAGAGAGAGAGAGAGAGACGGGAGGGTGAGTAACCGGTCGAAATAGAGAATATAAATGTACAGTTGAAAAAAAGTGTGTGAACAAAATAAGTAAATATAACGGAGAGTTGGGAATATATATGCTAATTCTCTCTCTCTCTCTCTCTCTCTTTCTCTCTCTCTCTCTCTCTCTCTCTCTCTCTCTCTCTCTCTCTCTCTCTCTCTCTCTCTCTCTCTCTCTCAAATAAACAATGAAAAAGGTAATTCAACATTCCTCAACTATCTTCTCTCCTTCCTTTCTTCTTTTAGTATTTTTTTTTTAATTTCTCCTTACTCATCTTTCCCTTTCGTTGTACCCTCATCAGCCTCTTCCCTGTTACATCCCCCTCGTCATTCTTCTCACCCTTTTCTCTTCCTACCTTCAGAGGGTAAGCTTTAACTCTTGTGATGGCTCTTTATTCAAGGAATTGAAGCTAAAATTAATATTTCTTTCCCTGTCTGGTGTCACAGCCGCTAGATAGGGACCCTCCCCACGGACAGTCCCGGTGGCACCTCCGGGTGGTCGCCACGGACGGAGAGCTCAACGCCACCACGGCCGTCCATGTCAACCTCAAAGACATCAACGACAACGCCCCCTACTTCCCTCAGTCCGTCGTCAACGCCACCATCAGTGAAAACACTCCAGAAGGTTGGTCAGTTGGGATTTTTTTTTTTCACTCCCAAAGATCCTTCAGTAAGAGGGTGCCTTTTTGTCGGTGAAGTGCTCTTAATCCGAGAACCTGTTGACTCCTACTCCTCCTTCACTATGAAATTAATTGCAGCAAAATTCCTTAAGAACCCTTGAAAACACTCCAAAGGTCAGTACACTAAGATTCTCCTCTACATTCCTTAAGAACCATTGAAAGTACTTCTTCCGGGCCAAGTGACATCCTTGAGAGAGAGAGAGAGAGAGAGAGAGAGAGAGAGAGACAGACAGAGACAGAGACAGACAGACACAGACAGACAGACAGACAGAAATCACTGGCCCATAGATGGTGCCACCTCCATCATGTTTCCTATTTGTCTGCCTTATAACAATAAAAAGGCTTTAAAATAAGCAATGTAGATAACAGCGATTTGCTTGTAAATAAAGTTAGGAAACCTTAACCTAACCTTGTAAAATCCTGTGTAAAAGAGAGAGAGAGAGAGAGAGAGAGAGAGAGAGAGAGAGAGAGTAGAGGGAAGGAGAAAGAGAGAGAAGAGGAGACGTCTCTGTATGCATCGCAGCAGTTGAACCCCTGCGGCTGCTCTCGTTATCTTTGTTTACCAACATTCTCACCTGAACGAGTCCCATGAATGACTGAACTGTAGCGAGCCTCTGGCCGGTATCGAGGCTAACAAACTTTTTCGCCAGAATGGTAAACACGCATGAATGAACTCGGGCGTCGCAATAATGTCGATTCTATTGGAATCCACATTTGTGGTGAAGAATGATGGGAGGTGAATGATGATCACTGGTTTCTTCTTTTTGTCTTCCTATCATTCAGTATTTTTTATAACGATAAATTGGGTTTTCGGAAGGCGCTCCTCTGAATGCTGACTACTTCGAGATTTCCATGAACCGATTGCGTTAAATGTTACAGTGAAGAAGCAAATATTTTAAAAATTAATATTTTTAAATAAACTTTCTCAATTTAGACGCAATATAGACACTCTGTACACTATGGAGATAAAAGTATTGTGGTTTTGACAATGGAGTAGAGAGAATCAGAAAATAAGTTTCAGTTATACTGAAGTTTTGATGGGATACAGCAACTTACAGCAGAGGAAGAGGAAAATAAGGGAAACTGTTATGCTAGCAATGTTCATTGTTTCAATAATCTAAATAAAAAATGTGAGAAGACGTTGGTTTAGCACTGATTCACATATCTTACGTTCTTATTTGCTATTACCGGTAGGCTTCCTTTAGTGCTCCTTTGTTTCATGAAACTAACTTGTTAGTATGTATAAGGGTTTCCTTCCGGGTATTTTAAGTCTCCCCTGAACAATTGCTGAATCTGGGTAATTCTTATAGAGTACTTATAAGGTCAGGTTATGTTTTCTTTGATGATTTGGGGTAAAATTAGGGAACCTACAAAAGTGGAGATATACTCCCGTTGTTTTGATCAGAAATGATTACCTCCTATTCTGCAGTAGTTCTACGACATCTCCGGATTTAACACTTTCCTGTGAATATACTAATGTCATTGTATCCCTCTCTCTTTCATGTACTTGTGTGTGAAGGAGCGAGGGTGGCACAGGTGTCAGCCACAGATAATGACGACCCACGCGAGGGCCACAACGCTCGCCTTGTCTACTCCCTTGAGAAGAACGTTATCGATGAGGCATCTGGGAGACCCATCTTTGCTGTGGACAGCCAAGTGGGTCTCATCACCACGGCGCTCTGCTGCCTCGACCGCGAGAAGACTCAACGCTATGCCATCCAGGTTGTAGCTACAGACGGCGGGGGCCTCAAAGGTAGGATTTTTATCTACTGGACCCTTCGTGGCGGGGGAAGGGGGTTAGTGCCATGACGCTGATGGAGGGTTTTTGATCCAATGAACTAGACCTATCTTTGGATCAAACCTGATTATCACACATTCATCAGGCGCTGTCTTCCATCTATTTTCAGTGCTTCCAAATAAATATGATAATTTACCTCTTAGTGGTGATGCTGGTAGGTACTAAATGGGCAGTGCTCTGTGTAGGTGGCATCAATTGGCTGGCATTAACACGTTGGTATTCTGGTTGAAAGGTGGTATTAAATGGCTGGCCATACAACATGCTTCACAGGTGGATGGTAAAGTAGATGGCCTTCAACTTAGTGGCCTCTGAATGTGATATCGATTATGAATGGAAATAATAATGGTAACATAGAGAATGGTTCGAGGTGGCTTCAGAGATGAGTGATACTGCAGGTGGCTTTAAATGGTCAGGGTTTATGTTAACGGTGGGTATTGTGGATAGCTTCAGGGGTAGGTGATGTGGATGGCCAATAACATAGAAGTGTTGGATTCTGTGCTATAACTCTAGAATGCATTTCCTGACCTACTTCAAACTTTTAGCGATATTATGTTTTTCTCTCAAAGAAAGCTTCGTATTTATTTTGACCTTTATAAGCTTTCTTTTGTCAGTTTTATTAAACAAATTGGAAGTGATGCAATAACTGGAGAATCCCTGTTCTGCTAGGCTTCAAACCTTAAACGCTGATAACTTACTTAGATACCTAGATATTTAGGTATTAAACTGACTTAGATATTTATGACGCCCTCTAGTATTCCATTTTGTGTGAACCGACGTAGATGGGGCTGGTTGTGGGATATGGCGATACCTTTCTGGGATCGCACTGCGACTCAATTACTTCTAGTTAGTGTATTCGTGTGGAAGTGCTAAACCAGTTGGGAGTCATAGAACAGCTGAAGAATGGGAGGTAATTAAGTTTGATCCCAGAAAGGAAATGGTAGCTTTAATTCCTCAGATTAAGAGCTCATCACCAGCACCAATCCCCTATCTCTCTCTCTCCCCTTGAGGAAGTCTAAACTGCATAGTATTGAATGACTTTTGAAAATGTCCCTGCGTTCTGTAAATTTTTAAATTGCTTCCATTCCCATGTGGCGTTCTTCTCTGCTTTCAGGCACGGGGACGGTGCTAGTGGAGGTGGCAGACGTGAACGACGTGCCTCCGAGGTTTTCTATGAAGGAGTGGAACCTGGACGTAGCGGAGAGTCTCACCCCAGACCACGCGCTTGCTACACTCACCGTCCTCGATCAAGACACATCCAACAACTTCACCTACAGGGTGAGTTCTACCTACCGTAGGCTGGTAGATAGGGCGGCTCCAGCTGGCTCCAGCTGCCTCCTACTGTGTAAAGTTCGCCCAAGTACAGACACACACAACGTTGTTTGCAAGGAAAGGCTTGCATATTAGTTTAATGTTACATATCGAGATTTACACATACTCATGTTTACATGGAGGAAGTTCCAGCTTAGTATTATACGTACACGGGGAGAGACTTGTAGCCTAGTCTCTTACATATATCATGTTTGCATGGAGATATTTCAATCTTAATCACAAGTTTACATTGAAAACTGTTACATGGTAATGTATTTACATCATAATTTCATGTTTACACTAGCAAAGATTTGCATCTCGCTTCAGTCTTATGTTTACACGGAGTGATATCCGTATACCTTCAACCTCGTATTTACACGATATTTGCATCTTAGTCTTATACAACCTCCTTCCCCTCCCAAGGTGGTGCCTGGCAGCGGACGCGGGTGGCACATGTTTCGTGTTGACGAGCGACTTGGTGGCACTCTTGGGGGAGACCTGAGGGCTCTCGTTCCTCTAGACTACGAGAACCCTGAACACCGTCGGGGATTCCGTTTCAAAGTTCAGGTTACCGATATGGTAGGTGGCGCCGTTGCTGCTATTTGAACTTGCATGGAAGACAGAGAAATGCGCAGTGATGACTTGTCCAGGCGTGCGTGGGAATTAATACATAGTAGGTCATGTGTAAGTAAATGTTATTTGTTACATATCATATGTGTAAAATATTACTTGGAACATACGTCATATGGTAGATGACTAGGAGTATCATACGTTATATGTTAAAAGATTAAGGGTGTCATACGTCATATTGTGGGAGTTCTAAAATGTAGCTCGTTGTATGGAGGCGTTATTACTGTGAATACCTGGAGAGCCCAGCCTTGACCGCGTCCGCCCGTCTCTAGGCCTATCAAGAAGTAAGGACGTTGCCTAACGGCTAGCTAGCTAGCCGAGGGAGCCCGTGATGTCATCATAACCAGGGAGCATCATTATAATCTACTATCAGTATATATGTGTGACTGTTAACAGTCACACATTCAAAGATTAAGGGAATCATAGAATATAAATTGAGAGATTACGGGTATCATACATTATGTCAAGAAATCATGGGAATCATACGTAATATGTTCAAAGATTATGGGTATAATACATTATATGTTAGAGATTGCTGGTATCATACGTCATTTGTTAAATGATCGTTGGTGTCATGAGACATTGGTGTAAAATACTTATCATGCTCTTGCGCATGATTCTTGCGTAAGAGCATTTCTAACGTGTAAAAAAGGTATTGTGAGACTTTATTTGTATAAACCTTTGCTGGTGTGGTAGTTTGTATGTAGAGGATCATTTATTGTGTTTATGAGAGCTAAATACCCACCGCGTCGAGTCATGCTTGAAGAGGTTATCACTGGTAATATTTTATGATTTGTTCAAGGGGAAGGTGCCACGATGCTGGTGAAGGGCGTATCCTTTTTTCTTCAACGCTGACTGGTACTACTACATTTGCATCCAGTGTGGCATAAAAATCAGAACTTGGTGAGACATAGGGAAACAAGACAGAAAAAAATATCGTGATCATTTGATTTATGTAAAGTAATGCCAGCTTAAAGTTTTCCATTCTCACTAACCTCACCTCAACTCTATCTGTGAAAAAACTAAGCTACTGAAATCCATATTGAGAGCATATTTCAGGGTCTATAGACGCGTAATACTCAAGAAAACTGTCGCATATTACATTATGATTGTGAAGATTAACATTTACGAAAAAAAAGTAATGGAGAATTGATCAGGAAGACAAGCAGGTAATCAGACAGGCAGAAAATCAGACTGGAGGGCAAACATGCAAACAGGCAGGGAGCGCTCACAGGCACGCAAACAAAAAATACTGTCGGGACAGATTTAAAAGCACCGAGGTAGGAAAAGACAACAAAGCTCTTCATTACCTGTAAGCATAATAACGTATAGAATCCTGACACTAGTGTTTGTATTACAATACCTGACACCTGCTTGCACTCACCAGTGTCAACACCTTCCATCTTATTCACCGTTCCTTTATGTCAACATCGTACCTATTCACACCTTAATTTCTCTTCCTACTGCGTTTTCCCATCCATTTCGTTTCTCTATTCACTGCGTCGCGTGTCTATTTCAATCTATCTTTATCGCTTTGTGCTCTAAACGTGTATTCTGACAATTCTTTTTCGTTAACTGAATTTGTTGTTGGTGCTTCACTTTTCATTAAGAGTTTTCATTCTTTGTTGCTTCTTTCGTTTTTTAAATTTTATCTTTTATTTTTTTGTATCCCTGCAAGTTCATATTATTTTTTTTAACGCATCGGCAGTTTCCCATCGAGGCAGAGTGATCGGAAAAAGAAGAAACGCTTTCATCATCACTCATTTCATCACTGTCTTGCTAGAGGCATGCCGATACTACAGTTCAAAAACTGCAATATATATCCACCAGTCCTTTAGAGAGCAGGCACTGCACTTCCCACTTACACTCCAACAGCACGTCAAGTCATAAAAACCATTTGCCTCCACTCACTTCTTACACGCTCACGCTCCATCTAATTGTTAGTCGTACACAGCCTCTAGATTTTCAGACTTTTCTGTGCTCTTTTTCCTATTAATTCTAGCCTATTACTTGACTATCACTAACCTATAGAAAGCTTACTACTAGCATTTAGCACACTTACTAATAGCCAATACATCTGATTCAGAAAATGTGAAAATAAACTTCTGTTGGTAATGGAAGCTTGTAAACAGGAGGAAAAACAAGATAACATCGTCTCTGTTGCTCTCACATTGTGTTCGTAGCTCAGAATAAAAAAAACAAACAAAAAAAGAAATTTCAGATTTTGACTTTTAGGCTCAAGAACTGCATTTTAAAGACTAAAGACAAAAAGGCTTTTATGGCCAAGAGATACACTTTTTTTCTCGGGCAAGAATCACTTCTACAGTGCCAAGAGTCATTCTATCAGTGCTAAGAATTTCTCCTTCAGTACCAAGAATCACTCCTTCAGTACCAAGAATCGCTCCTTCAGTGCCAAGAATCGCTCCTTCAGTGCCAAGAATCACTCCTTCAGTGCCAAGAATCACTCCTTCAGTGCCAAGAATCGCTCCGTCAGTGCCAAGAATCGCTCCGTCAGTGCCAAGAATCACTGCTTCAGTGCCAAGAATCACTCCTTCAGAGCCAAGAATCTGCCAAGAACAACTCCTTCAGTGCCAAGAATCACTCCTTCAGTGCCAAGAATCACTCCTTCAGTACCAAGAATCACTCCTTCAGTGCCAAGAATCTGCCAAAAATCACTCCTTCAGTGCTAAAAATCACTCCTTCAGTGCCAAGAATCTGCCAAGAATCACTCCTTCAGTGCTAAGAATCACTCCTTCAGTGCTAAGAATCACTCCTTCAGTGCTAAGAATCACTCCTTCAGTGCTAAGAATCACTCCTTCAGTGCTAAGAATCACTCCTTCAGTGCCAAGAATCACTCCTTCAGTGCCAAGAATCACTCCTTCAGTGCCAAGAATCGCTCCTTCAGTGCCAAGAATCACTCCTTCGCTGCCAAGAATCACTCCTTCAGTGCCAAGAATCACTCCTTCAGCGCCAAGAATCACTCCTTCAGTGCTAAGAATCAACCCCGTTGGGGACCACAATCACACTAGTGGACCACAGATCACACTAGTGGACCGCTTAACATCCTCGTGGACCACAGTCACACTAGTGGACCGCATAACATCCTCGTGGACCACAATCACACTAGTGGACCACATAACACGCTCGTGAACCACAAATCACACTCGACGATTAAAAATGAACCACTGGTCCAAAAATTACTCTTGTGGAATACAAATCAAATACCGCACTTTGATCCACCCATAAAAATAATACATCTAGGCAATAAATTGCTTTTGTGAACCGTAAAATACAATCATACACAAAAAAATCTTGCACATTATCGTAATGCGGATATTGCAACTTCAGTTCGGGTAACCGAACAATGATTTCAAAATAATATTTCAAAAAATACTAGAAAATAAGATTATCACATAATAAACCAGTTTGTGTTACACCAATGTCAAGTTTTTTTTTTTTTTGGGGGGGGGGGGGATATGGGTTGGGGGAAGGGAAGGACAGTTTTTTTTTATTATAACATTGTTAATGAGAAACCGGCTTTTTGAACTCGTAATTCAAAATTAGCCCATGATTTTTTTTTTCAATCTGAGTTGATCCACTTACTGATTTTTTTTTTTTTTTTGAATTGTGATGGAGGGGTAGATATCCAGGGAAAACTAATTAAAAAATGCCCCACATACGAACTTAAATTTGTATGATATTTATACATGTCATTATATATATATATATATATATATATATATATATATATATATATATATATATATATATATATATATATATATATATATATATAAATCTCTAGTTGGTCGATGCATGCAGGGGATGAGATGAAAAGCTGTAAGCCTTCTCCCTGAAAGCTGGCTGCCTTGGATCAACGTCTGGCATTGTGCTAGGCGCCAAGGTATTGTCCAGTTTGGTGAGAATGGTATAGCACTGCGTACCTTGTTCCAAGGTTCATAGGTTCGAGTCTCCTTCGGCCAGAGATCAGTGTTTGTGTATATTTCGCCTGCTCTTGCAAATTCCTTATATATATATATATATATATATATATATATATATATATATATATATATATATATATATATATATATATATATATATTTATATAACAGTATTGTGATAATTTTTAATAACGTATGTTATTTTAGCGAAATTACTTGTTTTATGATATATATACTGCTATGTGGTGATTATATTAATTTTGCTATAATAATAGTAATAACGAAAATCTTATTATTATTTTTATCATTATCATCACATGACTAAGACCTGCGTCAGGAAACACTTGTCCTGTTTCCAGACAAACCTAACCTAACCTAACTTTATCTAACCTAATCCAATACGCTAAAAAGCACGAGGATGGACTATTTTATAATACACTATTTCCACTACAATCAGCCACTCTCCCTAATGTACAAGCCAACCACCACAGCACACAATACAAAAAAGAATAAGTAGCCCCACCACCAGAGCGCGCACACTCTGCTTTGTGATCATCTCCAGGAGGTGGGAAGCATAGGGACAAAGTGTTCGATTTCGAATCGAAATGACCTACGTTGGTTTCCCGGGTAAAGCGAGACTTGGGCAAGTTTTCTTATACCTGCTCCTCCTCGTCTAACTGTAAATAGGTACCCTAAGGGGTTAGTTACTTTCTTGGGTTCTCCTGGGTTAACAATCAAGGGTTAGTAACCAAAAGAATGCTTTCTCTAGAGGAAAGTCCAACACGAAGGGCACTTGTATGAAAATAAAGCACACCAACATAGCCAAATTAACCAACATCATCAGTAAATTCAATGAAATAATGGAATGACCAGATATATAGTGATTACAAAGATTAATGTATTAAGAATGTTAACAGACCACATATTACCAGGGACACTGCATGGTGAGGAAGAAAAGAAATAAAGCTTTGATGAGACGTGATAAACAGTTACAACAAACTTGGACAGCACCGTCTGGGTAAGTCACTACTATATGACAGCACAAAATTAGAGATCAGAGTCATATATAATCGCTTACCTAGAAACAGGAGACCTAGACAACAGTATGATAGACGTAAGATAGCTGGTACGAGTTTTGGAGAAAGTGACGGCAAGGTATAGAAAAGCATTAGCATGTAAGGGAATAGAAATACAGAACCTAGGTAACTTCAGCTACAGGGAAGTTCTGAGAACAGGGACAATGGCACAGATCCCAAAATGGAGGGCATCGATCTTGAACACTGTAATGAAGAACGTCAAATCCCAGTATGATAACGACCACATATGGGTTAGTAGGGTAGATATACCAGCAAAACAGGACTTGGTAATCTTCCTCTGTGAACCAGATGTAGAAAAAATAAACTACAGATCCATCTCAGAAGCGAGAGGCTGTTGTGTATTAATATTCCAGTGCTTCACCGAGAGGGGAACACAAACCAGTGAAAAGAGAAAAATGACCAAGAAACTGAAGTTCAGGAAAGGCAACTCTGATGACATGCAAATACCCCTAACCACAACACAATGGGGGCGAGCTTCCTGGGCAGAACCCACAAGAAATAATATTTTCATCCAGAAGTGCCGGGAGGCGACGGAGAGATTAGTTTCCTTCTAAAATGAAAAAGAAATAACATAGAGATTATATTACTCAACAGGCAGTGCAGAGGAACAAACATTGGAAGAAAATTTTATTAAAAAAAGTTCATCTGGCAAGTAATACCAGAAAACAGAAGCTAATAATACTTCACTTAACAGTACTAAGAACAGAGGGTGATCTACTGAAAGAGAATGGCAATACAACGTCTAGAGTGATAGCTGCTAGAGTGGTAGCTGCTAGTGGTAGCTGCTAGTGTGGTAGCTGTTAGTGTGGTAGCTGCTAGTGTGGTAGCTGCTAGAGTGGTAGCTGCTAGAGTGGTAGCTGCTAGAGTGGTAGCTGCTAGAGTGGTAGCTGCTAGAGTGGTAGCTGCTCGAGTGGCAACAGCAGAATAGTGCACAGTAGCAGAACTGCAAAACTGGCTCTAAAAGACTAAAGAACTTGCAAATGTAAAAGCATAAAGAGACTCGTCTCAGTAGAAGTTTGAGGTAATTAGTCCCAACCTGGAATCGATGTGTTCAGTCCATCACTCTTGTAGGAAGTGCAGCATAGGGCCAGAGAGGTGCCTTATATACTGCCTATGCTGCACTTCCTACAAGAGTGATGGACTGAACACATCGATTCCAGGTTGAGGGACTGATTACCTCAAACTTCTACTCTCCTTACCCATTTCTACTTTGTATTGGAATGATGAAGCCACTGTGTGGCGAAACGTTTCTTCAATAAAGATTCCCATGTGTTGCATAAGTGTCTCAATTCTTCAACTTGTCGGTTTTCAAAACCATTCATCACATCTGTCAGACACTGCAACATCATGGGATCTTGGTATAAAGATTTCAACGCTTGCCCAACCTTTGGACGACGACCTACTTACACTAGTGGCAGGTCCCACTGTGATCCCGCCGCCTCCTGCTTCAACTCATCTCACCGTAGTATATAAGGCACCTCTCTGGCTCTATGCTGCACTTCCTACAAGAGTCATAGACTCGTCTCATTTTGGACATAGAATAAGTAATGAGACCGAACAAGGTATCACCTCTGATATTTAGGAACAGATGTTCTGAGCAAATTACTAAATTAAATCTTCAAAAAAGCCTTGTGCGAGTCACTCAGCGGAAGCAGTGCTGGAAGCTCGGTTCTCCATCCATGCACACAGGCGCAAAAATAGATTAATACACACGGGTATACGAACACAAACACACGAGCATAAACACAGAGATATACACACTCAAACATAAACTCACTACCTACACACACACACACACACACACACACACACACACACACACACACACGCATACACACGCATATACACACACCACTGACATTTTTATTTGCAGTCACTAAATTCATTATAAATATTCGTGCAATTATTTGTATGCAGTTTCGACAAATCATGTAATTCCCTAATGAAATACATGTATATGCATATCTCAGCGTGTTAATTTTAATACCTCTGTGTACTTTGTATATGGGTCGCCTCATGGCAGTCGTGTGCTCATGAGAGGTATTGCATGTGCATTTTTAGTTTTACTAGTGGT